TGGATGGATAAACAGAGTAAAAATATTTCTGAGACAGAGATAAGTTGTGGGCAAAAGGAGAAACATGTACTGTTTTGAAATGGAAGGCTGTAGTGTTTAAGTCCAGCAGGTGCTGCCATATAATCGAGTCTAACTTCATATACATAAGTGTTGGTGGAATTTCACCAAGCTATCTACAATGAACCCAAAAATCAGTATTATTTTGCAGTATAACTTCCATCTTAATGCAGAGATGCAAGAGATGAATGTTCCGTCATTTGTTGTGTGTGTAATTATCCTCACTGTTCAAAACATGTGCTTAGTTTCCAGTTTTAATTTGTCTGGGTTTCATTCCCAGCCATTGGTTAATTTTATCCACTTGTCTCTCCTACATTCAATGTGGGGAAAAAAAAAAGGGGCATGTCAAATTGAGAACTATGTGAAAAATATGGGTGTTAATAGCAGCATTCATGCACAACATTGGACTGAGAACTGTGGTGGCATGGCTGCATGTTTCCACCATAATCCATAATTATTTCCACCATTATTAATTTCACTCACATCTTTTTGAAGCATGAACATTTTGGACTGAAATTCTGCTCATTCCCTCATAAAAAAATGAATCTTCTTGAGCAGGTCTGAGCAGAATGCTGGCAGCTCTCACTGAATGATGGAGGAATGATTAGAAAAAACAGTTTTCCCCACAACTGCCCCCCAACATTCAGCACATTTTTAGGTATGATTTGAATGAAATACAGCTGAGATTGACACGCAAAGCTTGGAAGAGAGAGGCACAGCCTTCTATGGAAGCATTATCCTTGTTATGGTTTTATTTTTTATTTTGAGGTGAAGATTGATCAGTTGTTTATATTCAGGTTTTGAAGTGTGCCTATCATAACACAAATTAAGCAAACAATAAAAAGACTAAAAACATATTTCATCATAAATAAAATGGGACTGAATGTCAACAGTGACACAAAGAGCACTCCCCAGTGGGTATTTTAACAAAGTCCATCCTCACCCCACCCATCCTTTCAGGAAGAGCCTGGGTAAATAGAAAGACTTTCTAAGAGCACAGAAGGCCAACAAATTCAGCTTTTATGGGCTGAGTCTGGCAGTGAAATCTGTCATTGAGGACATTTTACTGACATCCTCCACTGACATAAATCTGGAGACACAAATCAGCAGATATCACCTCAGCTGCTGTGGTCTTACGTAATAAAGGGCAGAGGTCTTAGAAGTAGGTTAGGTTGCAAGCTGGAGGTGCAGCAGTTTGGTACAGGATGGATGATCTCATTTCTTGGGATGGACCACAGGCAAATTCAATCTGTAATACATGTAAGAGCTCCAGGATAACAAAGCAGTGTGGGAAAGAGCTTGCTGAATAGGTGCAATTGTGTCTAATTGAGCCCCTGTTGTGAGGGCACTGCTGAGGATGCAAGGTGTTTCTGCAGGCATAAAAGCCAGATTGATATTTGAGTGAACCATGGAGGTAAGAAAAGGCAGATATGAACTGCTTAAAAATCTTAAAGGCTTTTGTTCTGTTTGGAATTTTTTCATGTATTTCTGACTCTTGAAATGGAGTCAGAGTTCAGACCCTCAGCAATTCTGTCTCCCTGCCTCCTCTAGAATGGAGTAGTGGAATCCAGCTCAAATTAGGCAGGTTTTTTTTTACTCCTGTGAAAAATGAAAAAAAGAATTTAGGTTCATCAGGTTTATTTTTGACTCACAGAGGGCAGATTGTGCTACAAATTATAAGATTTCTCTTTAATCAGAATACACACTCTTTAGAATGGAGACCAGATTTTGCCCTATCTTCATAAATTGCCTAGTGTAGAAGTCCATGAGCTTGATCAGGAAATTTCAGTGCTGTCATAATTCAGAAAATAATAATAATGTACTAGTACTGGGCAAGGAACTCCAAACCCAAAGTGCCTTAGATAATGCTTGGGCTGATTTGAGGTTTCAAGTGGAAACCAGTTAAAGCTGGCTTGTATTAAATGGTTTCAGCCCCATGATCCTCCCAGCTATTACCAAGTTTCTTGCTGGGTTATAACTTTACATAAATTCAGTATTTGGTGTAAAATACAGGGGGCTGTATTTCTCTGAAAAAGGTCTGAAGCAGATGGCTACATCTCCTCTATTCCCAATGCAGCAGATTTATTTTTCACTCAAAATCCCCGCCATTCAATCTGAGGGCCACATTTTTACACTTACTCAGATGTTAATGAGATTTGTTGTTGAGTTCTTCAGGTCTGGGATTTCAGTCCTTGAGAGCTGCACTTGATGTTCCTTGTGGGTCCCTTCCAACTCAGAATATTCTGTGATCTGAATATTCCCCAAGGGAGTGTTATCAGCAGGCTTGGCATACCTCTTGGAGATCATGCTGTGTTGTGGTCTCACTGCCTGAGACAGCTGGAACAGCTGCTTGTGGAGAGATACTTGCCTGCAAAGCCACGTGGAGGGTGACAAATGGATAGAAGTTCAGTTTAATTGAGTTGCTGGGCGTGTGCTGGGCAGCAAGGCTGCTCTCCAAGGATGGAGAAACAGCACAGGCCAGCGTGCATCATCAGATTTCCATCTGTCCGATAAACAGAGTGGAAATCTTGGAGATATACTTTTTATTATTTATTTACTCTTAGTCTGAAGGATGTCAGAAGATATTGGCAATTGGAAGATATGCTTTGGCGAGCTCCAAAATTGATTTTGCTTGTGATGGTTGCTACAGAGATCTGTTGCAATGGGAGAATAAGGGTCACCTCTTACACTGAAAGCAATGTTAACACAATTGTAAGGAAAACAAGGAACACATCTCCTAAAAAGCTGCAACTAGTAGTTCCTTATGACTGTTTCCTGATTACTGGGCAGATTGCAGGAGTTTTGGTGAACAGAAATGAATACTTAAGGATTCTTAAGGTGAAAGTACCTGGTGTACTTGCTCACTGAAGGAAACTGCTGTGATATTTAGCAAGGCCACGGATGTGTTTAGAATCATAATAAGAGACATTTTCAGCTTTCTTAACAGATGATCTATGTGATAAGTGTCCAAGGACAGGAAGTACATATCTGTTTAATAGATAAGATTTTGTGGGAATTTTTGCTTAGGGTATTCTTTTTATTTCCTTTTTTAGTTTGCTGAGCAACTGGTGGTTTAAAAAAGGCATTTTAAAGAGGCTTTTAGAAGCAGTTGTTCTCCTCGCTGTGTAGGGGTACTCTGTGTGGGTAGAGAGAGTGGAATAATCATCTTCATCTTTGTGTGGTCTCACTGCAAAGACAAATTCTGAGCTATAGCCATTGGGCATTGACTCAGTTGTGGCCATTGTCCAGTGCCCCAGGCTGGGAGTAGTGTGTCCTCTCCTGTGCCCTTACAGCTGGACTTCAGAGTTGAAAAGATCACAGGCTTCTTGGAGCCAGAACATCTTACTAATGAGGGGGGTGTCGGGTCAGTTTGCTAATGCAGTTTTATTCCAGAGTCTCCGTCCTGTGGGAATTAAAGACCCCACTTTAATTTATTGTATTTTTTTTGTTTTTTTTTTTATTATTGTATTCATATCCTTTCTGTTCTAGACCTACATGAAATGCTGATACCCATTGAAGTTGCTTGCAAATGGCAGGAAGTGTTTTTCCTTGCCTTCCCTGCATCACACCTTTAGTGCTTTTAATTCAGCTCCTTCCTTTCTTCCTCATTCCCCACTGTGTTCCCTCATGGCCATGCTGCTCATGGGTTGCTCTCTTTGTGAAGAGTTGTTTCTACAAAGAAAAACCTCTTAAAGCAAAGCATGAAAGTAGCAAATTAAAACCTTTGGTGCACTGAGGATGAAAATGCTGTTCTAGCTCTGGCAAGTGGCTCAGCCATGTTTTTCACTTGAAATTTTTAAAGCAAAATTGGGGTACTGAATCCCTGCTGAACCTATACTTTCACCCTTCTTTCAGCAAAGGAGAAAAGTACCATCAAAACATTGTGATGGGAGAGGTTTGCCCCCAAAGAGTCGGATTAATGGCTAAACCAAATTTAGTTTTAATATTTAAATATTTGCAAAACTAACATCTGTACTTGGTTTTAGTCAGTGCAGAACTCTGTTTTTTTTTCTATGTTCATGGCTGCACTGCTAACTTAAATATGTGACTGTGTAAAAAAGGGAGACTTCTTAACCATGATGTGTCAGACCACTGCCAGAAGCAAAGTAAATGAATGTCCTGACTGGGTCTGGCACATGTTAGCTTCCTAATTCACTTTCCCTGCTCAGAAAGATAAGAGGAATGCAGGCGTCTCCCTTTATCTCCCACAGTAATAACCTCAGCAAAGATTTGAATGGGACACAGGATTATTAGGATTTTAAGGTCTTGCTTTCCTTTTCAAGCAGGATGAAACTAAATGTAATCATCTGTTGGGGCAGATGAATACAATGGGTTCTCAGCTGTAGGCTTTCATCACAGCAGAGATCTTGTGTGATTTGGCCTGGCAGGGCTCCGGGCTCACAAAAATTTTGTGAGTGTCAGATGTTTGGCACTCAGAGCCAACCACTGAGAGCTGCTGTCATACTTGTGTCTCCCTGTTTTCTAGTCTTTAAAATGTAGATTTTTGTCACCGTTTTCAGCATGTGGTGTTTAGAGGAGACTGATGGAAAGCTGCTTTGCTGAGTCCAGTTTCAGTTGTATGGGCTTGATCAGCTCTGCTCAAATGCTGCTGTGAGTGCTCCAACAGGATTGTGGTGCAGGCTAGGAGAATGTTTGCTCAGCTACAGAGCTGGGCTTTTATGGATTTGGTGTTTTCTAGGAGCCAGCAGCCAGTATGGTGAGGCTGCTATCTTCACAGGGACTATTTTCTCAAGTTCTCTTCTAAGAAACAAAAGAAAACCAGGGTTTGAAATTACGTGTCTCAATTTCACAGCCTATTTTCACAATAGGACATGGAGCAGCTGCTGTAGCCATACTTACTTTGCTCTTGAAAACTGCTTTATGTGATTTTTTTTAAGTGTCCAATATGCCATAGCACCAATGTTTCCCTGTCCCTGTTGCAGGCTGTCCTACCAGAGGAACGATGATGATGATGAAGAAGCTGCCAGGGAACGGCGCCGGCGGGCTCGGCAGGAGAGGCTGAGGCAAAAGGAGGAAGGAGATCTCTCAGGAGAAGCAACAGACAAATCTGAGGTCAATGCCCAGAACAGGTAAATGTCTGATGTTGTTTACTGACAAGCCAATGGTAGTTTTTGTTCAGAGAAGTGCCTGGAGGAGGTTTGCTGTGGTGCATGAGTTTGAAGTGCTGTGGTGTTTGAGTTTGGCCATCCTTAAAGTGAAGAAGGACCTCACACAGTGAGGATCAGCCTGGCTGTGTCTATGTAGTAGGGTGGGAGCATCACACATCTGGCTCATGGCACATATCCAGGTGTCCTCAAGGCTGTCTGTGGGGTAAGTCAGCCGAGGCTCATGGAGGCTCTTAGATCCTCTCAGGCATGAGTGCATCTGGCCTCACAAAACACCACAGCTCTGGTTCTGCTCACAGGGGTCATGGCACCGTGGGGCCAAAGCACTGGGGGCACCCAGTCCTCAAGCTGTGGCTGCAACACACTTGCAAGGTGCTGGGTGTGAGCTCCAGAGCACAGCACTCACCTGGCATTGTCAGGGTCAGGCAGGTATAAAGAGGAGAAAAGCTCATGGAAGGAGGTGACGCTTGAAATCATGGAATTATCCAAGCTGGAAGAGACCTTTAGGATCATCAAGTCTAACCATCAACCCAGCAGTGCCCCTGCAGCCCCTAAAGCATTACACCATATCACTGCTATCACCACCCACTTGTCACAAGCTGAGTGGCCTCCCTGTCTGTCCAGAGATGGCCTTCCTGTCTGTCCATCATTTGTTTAGTTTCACATAAATAATAATACTATAAATAATAATATAAACAGTATACCCAGATTTCCACTGGCCATAACACAACTGATAGAAATAAACCAAAATTGTGGTGGCAAGTGATATCAAGCACAAGAAGCAATTTAAGGCAAGGAGAATGGATAGAGAGATCAAAGCAGCAGCTAAATTTTGAAGCGTGTAACCTGTTGAGTTTTCCAACCGTGGAACGATGATGCAAGCTTTTTTCCTAGAAAGAGTGAAGTGCATATGTTGTTAGAAAGACTTCTTTTGGGTTTTTTTTTTAATGCAAGCCTGTCCCTTTCGCACAGTGTGGCAGGAGAGGAAAGCAAGCGCTCCACAGATGATGAAGCTGCATTGCTGGAGAGGCTGGCAAGGCGGGAGGAGAGGCGCCAGAAACGCCTGCAGGAGGCCCTGGAACGCCAGAAGGAATTGGACCCCACGATCACAGATGGGAGCTTGTCAGTGCCCAGCAGGAGAGAAGTAAACAACGTGGAAGAGAATGAGACCACGGGGAAAGAGGAAAAGGCTGAAACACGCCGAGGACGCTGTGAGATTGAGGAGACAGAAACAGTTACCAAGTCGTACCAAAGGAACAACTGGAGGCAAGATGGGGAAGAAGAGGGGAAAAAAGAAGAAAAAGACAAGGAGGAGGAGAAACCAAAGGAGGAAACCATAGAGGAAAATCAGGTAGATGTGACAGCAGAAAAATCCACTGATAAAGAAGAGGGAGTAACTGTAAATGCAGAGGAACACAAAGCAGAGAATGATACAAATGCTGTGCCAGAAGGGACGCAAAGTGTAACTGATGCTGTAGATAAAGAGAAGCTCAGGGATGAGGAAAAGGCTGAGGAAGAAAGGAAGGAAGCAGAAGAAAGGGAGAGGTTAAAAGCAGAGGAAGAAAAGAGGGCAGCTGAGGAAAAACAGAGAGCAGAGGAAGAAAAGAGGGCGGCTGAGGAGAGGGCTAAGGCAGAAGAGGAGAAGAGGGCAGCTGAGGAAAGAGAGAGGGCTAAAGCTGAAGAGGAGAGGAGGGCAGCTGAGGAAAGAGAGAGGGCTAAAGCTGAAGAGGAGAGGAGGGCAGCTGAGGAAAAACAGAAAGCAGAGGAGGAAAGGAGGGCAGCTGAGGAGAGGGCAAAGGCAGAAGAGGAAAAGAGGGCAGCTGAGGAAAAGGCTAAGCTAGAAGCAGAGAAATTAAAGGAAAAACAAAAGATGGAAGAACAGAAAATAGAAGATGAAAAACGTCAAGCAGCTGTCTCAAAAAAACAGGTACAGTAAACATTTTGCACCAAAATAAGACACCTGTGGTTTGTGTGGAATGTAATGCAAGAACAGATTGAATTGGAATTTCCTCACAGATCTAGTCCTGTACTGAAGTTACTAATACTTGTGCTGTTGCTCTCTATTTTTAAAAATAAATTCCCTCCTGCTTACCAATAATTCAGTGCACAATGGGCCTGACCTCACCCCATCATTCAAAGAAAACCTTGCATGTTCAGACCTCTGCATGTGCTTTTGCTGCCTTTCCCCCCATCAGCTGCTATAAAAACTGGCCTAATGCAGTAACCCATGAGGTGGAGGCACACACATCTTGGCAGAAAACATTATGAGCACCTGTTGAAGTGTGTGAGGAATGCTGTGTGCTAAGTGCAGTCACAGGAAAGGGCTCTGTACTGGGACACGTGAGCATGATGCCACTCCAGGGAGAAAGGCCCAAAGGGGAGGGAGTGGGCATGGGAGGATTTGGAGAGGGTGCAGGGGGCACAGCTGCACACAGAGGTGTGGGCACAGCAGCACATGATGGAGTGGTGGCTGCACACTGGATTGGTACGTGAACACAGTGTGGAGAAACAGAAATGCAAACAGGTGTGCGATGTTTTTATCTTTAAAAATAAATTATTGAAAACCCAAAAACCAAGGAGGAAGAAAAAGTGGAAGCTAAAAAAGGAAAGCTGCCAGAAGAGAAGCTCCAAGCTACCTCCATACAAGATCAGGTAACTCATAAAGCATTGATTTAGATGTGATAGGGAAACTTGAGATATGAAAACAGATAAGGCACCTATAAGTGAATGTTGATTCTTCAGCAAAGTACTTAAGCTTGTGTTCCACTTCAAGAACATGGGTAATCCTGCTGAAATAAATAGGGATGAAGCTCCTTAAGTGCTTAAAATTAAGTAAATTCTTAAGTAGTTTGTTCTTTTGGGGCTTTAGGACCAATTCCTGTTTGTCTTAAAACAAATATTTCAGGAAACTCAGTTCAGTCAACAACACAAGTATGGTTTTCCCTCTGGGGATGAATTTTTCAGGACAGTATCAACTAATCATCCTTCTCTGGTTTCCTCTCACTTTACTGTGAACTTTTTTCCCCTATGAACAAAACCTACTCTAATAATCATCATCATGATAATTGATAATCATCATCATAATGATAATAATAATCTAGGCCCTTTGGCCAGCAGACTGCCTCAACTAATAATTCCCCTGCAAGCTGCAACACTCCATAATGTAAACTGTGCATACCCAAGATTCTTCTTTTGTTTTAAAGAGAAAAATCCACCAAAATTACTGCATTGCATTTCCACTGTAAACACAGGAGCTGGTGCCATGGTGTTTTACTGTATGGTAAGTAAATAAGATTTGGGGACCATTTACTCTTCAGGGTGCAGATGGACACAGGGAGCCATGCTCAGTGCTGTGCAGTGGTTTTGGGTCAGTGCAGCAGCTTTCAAACCAGCCTCTGATCCTGGTTAGGGGAGACTGCTCAGAGACTGGTCAGAGCCTTGGAAATTTGGAGACATTTGGGTTCAGGCAGGACTGTGTGGCTCAAAGGGAGACACAGCACAGATTTCTGTCTGGTGGATTGGGACCATTGAGGGCTGGGGAGGGTCCACTCCAGGGTCCTTAGTTAGCAGATGAGTTTGGAACATGCTTAGCTTACCCTCACAGAGCAGTGAGGAAATAGCTGCACAAAAAAAAAAAGGGATGGATTATATTAAGAAGACAGAAAATTAATTTCCACTATTCACTTTTGCATGCAGTCTTTGAATATCACAAGTAAATGTAAAGAGGAGTCTGTAGCTGACCACAAACTTTGATTTATGGGAACTTGAGACACAGTTGTCCTGCTTGTTCTTATGGAGAGCTCGGCCAGCTCTCCCTGGAGATCTCATCATGCTTTTAAGCCCTACCCACTGGGCTAGATTATTCCAGGAAATTGGCAAGACTTATAAAAGTTACTTGTGATTTTTAGTGTTTCCATCTTTGGATGCTGAAGCTGAGAGAACTTAATAGAATCCCACTTCTAGTGCAATGCTGAATACCCATCCTGAGCATTGAAAATGTCTTGAAAATTTCAGTTGTTCCTTCTTTACTTGTGAACAAAAATGATGATCAGGGAAGATCAGGCTCCACTTCTCCCCCCCACTTTCCAGGACACAAAAATTCAGTGAGGTCTCTTTCTGAATGTGCATGCAGCTAAGAGGATGCCAGTGTTCCATGAACAGGACCCAGAGGGAACAGAATGTATCTGCATAATCAGGTTTTGCTTTTGCTTTGGACCTCAGAGTTCAGGTTTTGATTAATTTGGCAAGAAAAAATTTGTCTCTTTTTCTGAACTTCTGCACAGTTTTTCGTTCTTGAAAGTGACCTGAGAAGTTCACAAGACCAAGCTTTCTCATGATGTGAGACTCCTGGTATTTCCTGCTTCCAGTTTGGCCAGACATGCTGCAGCAGTTGCTTTTCTCATGGTGTTTGGGGGTGGCAGCTGACTCTACAGGGGAGCCCCAGACCCAGATGCCCACAGCTTTTAACTCCCGAAATAACTGAGCCCAAGTAAGGACTTGGCCCCAGATGGGCCCCAACCTCAGTAACTGATTTGCTTCAGTCTGAAGGTGTTCAAGCTCAAGATTCAGAAATCTCAGCTCTCAAATAATAGCATAAAAATCAAACAGAAAAGAGGCAGTATGGAAAAAGATAAAAATACAAATATAAAGCTGGAAATTTGTGAAACATGCCTTTGGTCATGTTGTAGCTTGATATTAAGATTTGTGAGATTTGGCACATGTGAGCACAGGTGAGCTATTTCAATTCAGGTAATATCACCTGTCTGCTCCAAGTGGAGTCCTTTTTGAATTCAGCAGAAGCTGAATTAGTCTGTAATTTAGGGAAGCAGCGAGACAAGGCAAAGAACTTATTTTTTTGCCTGCCTTTGGAATGAAATACAAAGGATGCTGCTTCTTTGCCAATCAATCTCTGCTTTGGTATTTAAATTACTAGGAGAAGGATTGAGCCCAAAAGATGTGAAATTTATTTGTAATATCTTGTTTTACCATCTTTTTGAATGAAGAGGCCAAGCTGCGTTAATGGCTTTCTCAAATGCAGACACATTGTCATAAATCATACTGGCTTCTGAAATGCTATTTCCTAACCTATTAATTTTTAAACTATATTGTTTTAATATTAGTTTTCTCAGTGATTTCAATTAAGATGTAAGAGATACAACCCTCCCCAGTGGACCTGAATCCATGAGGCAGCTAGAAGTGTTGGCTTTTTAAAGAAGACTTAGGAAGGTCTTGATGAAAATCTCAGCAAAGGAAATCTTATGCTCTCAAAACCCCAGGACAGACATCCTGGCACAAGGAATCTTGCACCAGTCAGCACAGCCTGTTTCAGCATCACCCTGAGTGGGGCTGAAGGGTTGGGAGATTGCTGCTGTGAACATGATCACCCATTTGAGTTGGGAAGGCCCAGAAGATGATCCTGCTGTTTGGTGGCATTCAGCAGGATAAATGAATAGCCCTGCTTGTCTCAGCCCAGCAGGACCATTCCTTGAGGCCCTCTCTTGCAGCATCATGGCCAAAGAATGCACAGCCTTGGAAGTTAAGCTCCCCTCTTGTCCCTCAGGGAGCTGCTGCCAGGCCTGGTTGGAAGGAGAGGGTGGGAAAATCTGCTCTCAGAGCAGAGCAAATGCCTCTGTTGGTTGTGCCCAACATCGCCCACCAGCAGCAAATTTGCTGAACTGGTTTAAGCATCCTGTGCTCACTTCTAATGTGTGCTGCCATGGTGGCATCCATTGCTCAGGGGCAGCAAACTGGCCTCAGGTAGAGTCGGGCTCTGACTCTGGGGCTTCACTCTGCACCAGCCTTAGGAGGATCTTGGCGTTGAAGGCTCTGAACTCATCCTTTGTAGGTAAAGATTTTGCTTCTCCAGGAGTTGAGATGGGTGGATGTTCTTCCTCTTTGATGAGGAAGAACAGAAATTTCTTTTGATTTGGGGTGTGAAGCTGTGTGCTACTTTTTCATTTCAAGGTGCATCTTAAGACACCTTTAAGAGCAGCTGTGTTGCACACAGGACTGTTACAGAAGTTCTTTATCTTTCTAGTTAGCAAATGGGATTGCAACAGGCTTCCAAAGTATTTATTCTTGAAAGGTCTCCATTTGAATTCTACACAGAAGGTATTTCTTGCTTGCCAGCTCGAGCCTTCCGTCAGCGCAGAGCTGGGGAAAGCAAATAAATACTTTGGAGGTAAATTTTTCATCTGCTGTTGAAAGTTGGTTTTGGCTGGTGGTCTTAACTAACAGAGAATATTTCTACCTGAGGATGCATAACTTAAATCAGTTCACTTTCTCCCTTACCAGCATCTAGCCATGACTCAGCATGCTGGGGTCATGCCATCTGTGATATTGATAAATACTTCAAGCTCATAACTCCAAAGAGATACTGGAGAATAAAATTTATGCACAAAATATTCTTTATTACTACTAAGAATCATAAGACAAAACTTTTTAAGGATAAAGGGAATTTTTACTCGTGTTTTCCAGAGCATTTCCTTCTTCACAGGTTTAAATATTTATGTCTGATAATGCTACCCATGACCAACCCCAGGCCAGGACTGTGCTTTTTGTCAGAGTAAGTTCTGCTCTGATATCAAGATGATTTTGTGTTTTGGCCATTATTCTTGCAATAATGAAGCTGTGACACTGAAAAGAGCATAAACTTTGTCACACAAACTTGACATTTGTTGGAGGCTTTCTGTTATTTTTATTACACCAATGCTCTAAACCTGGTACCAAAAATGTGTTGGCAAGTCCCAGAGAGTTTGCAGCCCACAATCTTAAGAAGCAAGAGGTGAATGATGCTGCAGTGGGAGGAAGAGTTGGGGGTGCATTTGCAGAGTGAAGCAGTGTGGTGTCATAGTCCCATGGCCACAGGCAACTTTCACAGAAGACTGATAATCTTATTTTCAAGATGCTTTGACCTGGAATTCAGGTCAGGACAGCAAAGTGACAGTTGATCACACTTTAGAGCTTTGTAGACCACTCCTGTCCTACAGCACATGAACAGTTTGAAGGCAGTTCCCAATCTCCCCAAGAAATTTGTATTTCTCAGCTGTTATTTAGAATGCCTCGTTCTGACTTTTTTTTTTCCTTTTTTTGGTGTGTCTTGTCTTTTGTTCTGTGATTTGTGCTGTGTTCTGAACAGGATGACAAAGGTAAAGCCCCCAAAGAAGAAATGAAAAGTGTCTGGGATCGCAAGAAGGGCGTTCCTGATCAGAAGGCGCAGAACGGGGAGCGTGAGCCCCCTGCCTCCAAACTGAAACGTACTGAGAATGCTTTTGGGTGAGTGCCAAGGGAGAACTGGGCTTGCTCCTGCTACAGGGGCCACCTCTGGGGCTCTGGGTGGAGGAGCTGGGCTGGCACCATCAGCAGTGGCTCAGGTGTTCACTGGGCTGCAGTTCTGCAGTTGCTGAGCTGTCCCCACTCTGCTGCAGGAAAAGCATCAAGTTCTGAAAGCAGCTGGAAATGGCCTGGCTCCCCCAGCAGAGACAAGAGGCCTGGTTTTGCTCTGCTGTAGCTTTACTTCCTTACTTATTTCTAATATCTACACAGAGACCAATAGTGAGAAAACCCTATATTTTGTGTTCTCTAATTTTTTTAGTCCAATCTCAACTTTTACTGTAGTAACCTATTTCCAATTACCCACCTATCTTTAATCAACAGAATAAAGCACAATCCAGTTGTGCTTTATGTGCTTTCTCAAATGTCCAAGAGAGAAGCTCTAGAAAGAGCTTCCCTCTTCATTTCAAGGCAAACATTGAAATTAATGGCTTCTGTAGAAAAGTGTTTTTCCAGTTAGGTAAAAACCTCTCCTAGCCAAAATAATATTTTTTCCTTTTTCCCCCCCTTCCTTTTTATAATCTGTGTCAGAGTTTGATTTTTTTTTTAAAGGAAATATTTGGCTTGTGGTTATATCGGGAAATTCAAAGAAGGTAACAATTTTCTAGTGAAAATTTTATTTAAAAGGATCCTGCCTGCTAAAAGCATGGGATACATGAAATAGAAATCAAGTTCTTCCTTTTAGCAGGAAATCAGGAATGAGTAGGTTAGAAATCAAATTTTTTCTCCTTCTGCATCTCTCTTTCTCTTTTACATTGACACAGGCAAAGGAAAGGTTAAGCTCTCCAGGCACTTTGAGAAATCTGAGCATGGCAGATGGGATTTGCTATTGTATCTCAGCATTCCCCTCATGATTCTGCCGGGAAGAACAAACTTTCTCAAAATAAAATGCAGTTCAAAAGACCCTGGAGACACCCTGACCTAAGGCCAAAAGACAGGCAGTGATGGAGATGGAACGGCAGGAAATTGGCCTTGCTCAAAACTTGGGTCACATCATCAATAACAAGAATGATTTTCTAAAAATATTTTTGATGTGTTTTCATTTGCTTTATTTCCTGTGGGAGACAGGCATTAGTGGCAAAATGTAGATTTGAGTTTCCACTCCTTTTTTTTTTTTTCTATTTCTGTTTTTCTTCTGTTTCATGAAATTGTGAAGAAGCCTGTTCAATGACCTTTTACCAGCTGAGTAGAAGATTTGGGTTGGCAGCATCAGCAGAGGTGCCAATGTTTGTTGGGTTGTTAGGTATGAATTAGGGCTTTTTTCTAATGAACTGCCCCCACAGAGTTGGGCTTTGTCTGGAACTGTCCTTTGTTCCTTTTTTTTTAATGCACACATCAGATTCTATTTAGAAAAAATATAACTTGGCTAACTTTCAGTGGTGAGAACTGAGAACAGAGTAGGGTAGTGGAGGCTAAAGAAAAGTGTTTTTTCTCTTTTGGTCTACGTCAGTCAGAGAAATACAGAATAAAATCCCATTTTATGGCTTCCCCTTCCCATCTCCCCTCCCACCTGCCTTCCTCCCTATTCTCATACAGGACTGCAAAAGTCCTAAATGCAATGTAACATGTTTTTTCACATTGTTCTGATGTTTTTGGCTCCCACAGGCCACGTCTTTCCTTTTCCTCCTTGCTCCTTGTCTGAAATCTGGCAACCAGCTTCATTTCTTAATACCAAAGAGGTTCTTACAAAATGCTTTCTCCACCCAGCACCTCAATACTAATTTCCCAATGTTGACAGCAGAGAATACAGATTTTCCCACAATCTGTTGAAAACAGAGGAGTTGGATGTGGAGGAAAATAAGGATAATTACTGCCAGTGTATTGTCTGCTATTTTGGATTATGCAGAACTAGTCAGGGAAGAGCTGTGAGCAGCATTAAGAATAAAGTAAGTTCAAAACTTAAAATATCCTTCATTTTAAGGAGGCCAAAGCAATCATCCAAGGTCTGCAAGCAAGAATGTTCAGGGTAAATTCTGCCACTGGCTCAGTCAGCTGAGTAGCTGCTGATTTCATTGAGTCTCACTGCACTGAGGGCTTACCTTCCTTCTGTGTTGATGGAGTGGCTCTTCCTCAGCAAATTCTTGGCAAACATTCTTCATTCCCTTCATTCTGAAAGCCAAATGCTTGCCCTTGCCAGGGGGATCATTTTGTCCATCTGAAGTGACTTCTTGCACCTTCTCTGGGCCCAAAACTTGCAGGTCTTGGTGAGGTGGCAACACAGATTTAGAGACCAAGAGGCAAAGGAAAAAAAAATTGAGGTTCCTGAGTTTGTTTGCTGGAGGGGCTACAACCTTGCAATGAAACAGGAAAGCCCTAAGATACCCAGGGATATCTTTTGTCCTTTGCATTGGATCTTTGGAAATTACATAGTGCCTTGTAGAGGCTTGTGGAATATTTTGGCTTCTCAGTACTTCTGCAGACTCAACCAGGGGGTATTCCAGGCTGGACACCCACTCAAAATCACACCTCAGGTGTTGCTCTTCCCTTTTTTTTGAAAGGCTAAATGAGATTTCAAATTGAATTTCCAATGTATTCTCACACCACTTCATCAATTGTATATGTATTTTTCATTTAAAAAAGCAGGAGCTCCTTACTGTAATTTGGCATCACTACCTGATGCAAGCCCTTATTTGTGGCCACTTAAATTAACTTGTCATATATTTTTTTAGTGATACAGTTCCTAAATCATGCGTGCTGTGCTAGAACCAAATTTCATTCAATTTGGTAAGATCATGTGGGGGCAGAGAACTCTGTGTTAGTAGATTTTATTATGATATAGAAACTACAAATAATTTAGCCTCTTTTATGTGGCTGACTCCATCTGCAGGAGACATCTGTCTGAATGAAGAGCATCTTTGCTGGATTGGGTGTGATTGACTGGATTGCAAATTTATATGGAATTTGTTTTTTACGTTGTCATCTCTCTAACAGTTACTGTTGGAATCTTTGATTTATACTGTCTTGTAGTATACTCTGCAGCACTCTGGTAGCATTAATGAAGTCATTTATATTTTTTTTTTTTTAAGATGCCAACAATGCAGAAAGGTTTTTTTATTTTTAATTCCATAAATACATTAATCTTCTGTCTTTTTGTCAATAGCACACTTAGAAATCTTCAGTACCTATCTCCTTGTCAGCAGGAACATTAAACACACTTAAGGAGCAGACATTTGTCTAAACACTGATGTGGTAATTATTTAACAAGGTGATGCTATCTGACTCTGTTGGAAGCATGCACTTCACCTGTGCAAATTCTTTAGGTTTGGGGGATTTTTTTTGGCATTCTTTCTTTCTGTCTCATGTATTACAGCTGCTTGGAAAACTCCTGTTTTTCTCCTGTGGAAAGTTACCATTAATAATTTCCAGTTCCTTACTAAAATGTCATATTTTCCCTAGAAAATGTAAGGAAAAGATCTGATGAACCTTTCTGTTCATACATGCTGGTGGAGTTAGAGTGATGGGTGTTATAGATGAGATAGGAATCTTTTTAGTTTTTTTTTTCTTTTTTTAAATACTGTTGAAACTGGAAAACTCCCTCTTCTCTCTTATTTCCTCCTGTTTTCCCCAAGTCAAGTAAATTGTTCTGTCCCCAAAGATACTTGTCTTTTTCTAGAGGGTTTATTAAAAATATTTGCCCTTGAAAGGAAAGGATTAGTGCATCCTTTATGACACAGAACACAAAATAGGGGTGGCACAAGTTCTCAGGCACAGTGGTGTGTGTGGGAGAGATTCCTTCCTCACTGGCAGGGATGGGAGAGGTGCTCCTTGTAATATCCCAGCCTAACAGCAGCTTTTATTCACAGAAGGCTCAGAATGGAGGAAATTGTACTTGAAAACACCAAGTGAAAAGGATAGAGATCCTAGTTTTGGGGAAAGTGTGAAAAAACACTGGACGTGGCAGGAGGCTCAAAGCTTTCAGTACAAAAGGTACAAAAGTACCTTTTGTACAGGTACACTATTCCAAGTGTATTTTCAGAGGAAAGCTGACATTTTAAAAATGTTGTTAAGCATCCAAAGTAAATTTTGTTTTTATTTTTATGCTGGGTTTTTTTATCTTGTTAGGTAGAAGTTGTTTGCTACACAACCTGACATATTCAGCTCTACACAGTCTTTCCTCTTTCTCCATTTTCTGTTTTCCCAATGGAAACGTTTTGGGCCAGCCACAGCTTGCAAGGAGCAAGAAGTCTTAGAAGGCAGCACTTTGCTCTCGTGTGTGTCTCCCTAGACCAGGGAATGGCCCCCCAGGATGGAGTTTCCAGCAGACACACCACTCTGTACCTCGTACAGACCCAATTACAGCCAACAACACTGCCTCAGGTGGCAGAGAACCAGTCCCTGCTGAAGGAACCTTCTCCTGACTCGGTTTCCTGATAAACTATGCTAAGAAAACCCTGCATCCCTCCTGCTATGCCAGCTCTAAGAAAATCTGTTTAGACATTGGGGACACAGAATTGTTTGCATTTTGAAAATTGCCTTATGTGTCTTCTGTGTGCTTTTGATTGTTTTGTCATTTTGTGTTGATTCAGTTGATCCTTCAGAGAAGCTTTCTTAATAATAGAAAAAATGGGTAATTGTGGAGACCCTGGGGGGGGTTGGCATTCCCTGGTCTAGGGAGACACAAGAAGCTTCCCTCAAAAAGCTGTTAGACCCCATTGGCTCCTTCCCCTGTTCCTATGTATAGGAATAATTACCAATATAGCTGGATGGGACGTGCCTGAGCTTGTTTGGCCCTTGGTGCTAAACCAAACAGTGGCACTGTGGTGTTTCACCCCAGAGACACTTTTGGCTGGCTGGGTGCTGCAGCTGGACACTTGGAGACAAGTCCAGGCCTGCAGGAGCTCTGGTGGCTCTGGGATGGACCTTTCCCCCCATAACAGGGTCTGCTCCTTGGGTTTCCCTCTGGCAGAGAAGCTTTAAGGTGATGGTGAAGGAAAGGAGTCGGTTCTGATGGAGGTTTTTAATCCAGAGTTTTATTTCTGGCCCAGAGGCCTCTGAATGCAGCAACAGCTCCAACAGAACTCCCCCAAACGCGTGGTTGCTGTTCCTTTTAACCCCGGGAAGAGGGGCAGGGAAGGGGTAGGAATCCACCAACCAGGTACATAGAAGGAGGTCTTAAGGGACAAAGGACACTTGGATGGCCCAATGTCCCCCCAGGGGTAGAGGGCATCCTTTGAATCTGCCAATCACTCCACACCCTTCTGGAATTCCAGGATTGACAGACAGTGCTCAGCAGGGGTCAGGGAGGGGAAAGGAGAGGTGACTGATACACCTGGGAGGGAATCTTCAGGGGAGGGGCCCGAGGTTCTGGGGTAAACCCTGAAATCACAACACGGCACCATTTTCCCTTTCCTTGCCTTCCCAGGCGCTCCGGCGTGAAGGGCGCGGAGGAGGAGGCGAAGCCGGGCGTGGAGGCGCTGAAGAGGTTGGAGGATCAGCGGCGCCGCCGGGGCGAGAGTGAGAGTGAGGAGCTGGAAAAGCTGAAGGAAAAGCAGCAGGAGGCAGCGGCAGAGCTGGACGAGCTGAAGAAAAGGCGGGAGGAGCGCCGGAAAATCCTGGAGGAAGAGGAGCAGAAGAAGAAGCAGGAGGAGGCTGAGAGGAAAATCAGAGAGGAGGTGAGTGTGAAGTATGGAGTGTTGCACTTGGGTTTATTCCATTTATTACTTGTGGTGTTTTTAGGGTGCCCTGTGGCAGGAAGGAAATGATGAATCTGAGTCTATGTTCTTAGAAGGCTAATTTATGATGTTATTGTATTATATTAAAGAATGTTATACTAAATTATACTAAAGAATAGAGAAAGGATACTTACAGAAGGATTAACAAGATACTAATGGAAAATTTGTGACTCGCTAGAGCCTCGACACAGCTTGGGTGTGATTGGTCATTAAGTTAAAGGAAGTTAAGTTAAACAATTCACATGAAACTAATCAAACAATGACCAGTTGGTAAACAGTATTTAAACCACATTCCAAAGCAACAAAACACAAAAAAAAGCAAATCAAATAATTATTGTTTTCATTTTCTCTAAGGCTTTTCATCTTCCCAGGAGAAAAAATCCTAGCAAAGGGATTTTTCAGAAAATATGATAGTAACAATTACTATTTTACTTTCACTCTCCTTGCGTTAGTCAACAGCTCTTTGCAGCATTGTCTAGTGAAGACCTGCAGTAAAACATGCAGCATCCAGGTGATGCGGTGCTGGGCTTTTCCCCAGCCAGCTCACAGCTCCATGCCAAAGGTGGGCTGTTCCCAGAAAGCAGCACAGTCTGGGATACAGCTGTGGGGCTTTATCTCTACAGCACAAGCTGATAATCCTCAAGAGCAGGAGCAAGGACAAGGGAGAGGTCTTTAGGTTGGTTTCCAAAAGGATTTATTCTATGGAAGGGTCAGGGACCAAAGACACAGAACATAGGTGTGGAGGGGTTTTTAAATGGGGGTGGTTCTAGGGGAGGGGATAAATCAGCAGCTAATCTGAGATAATCCTGGATAGGAGGAAAGGGCAGGGTTCACAAAAGCATCTTCCAATGAGGGAAGGGCCACAAGGACCCCACATGGACATGGAGGGGAGGTTGGGTCACATGGACTAATGGGAGGTCTTACTTTAGGGGATTTCTGAAGGGGAATTCCAAGCCAGGGTGGAGCAGTGGCCGGTGAAAAGTGAAACGCCCAGGCTAGATAAGTGTCCAGCCAACCTCCAGCCAGTCAGGCACTTCCCCAACCCGGAGTCAGGGCTTTGTGCCTAAGGCGATGTCAAGCCTTGCGGACGTGTGGCCGCAGTAAAGAGCTCCGAAGTCGCAGGATGAAATGAAGAGGCGACCCTCAGTTTCTTCGGGGGGGTGGTTTTATTGGTAGGGAAACGTGCAGGTTCGGTGGAAGAAGCTGAGAGCCCCGAGGCAGGGAAAAAGCCTCGGTTTTACAGAGGGTGGGAGGGGTGAAAGATAGCAAATCAGAGAGGGATACATTAAGGATTGGCATGATCAGAGAACCCATCAAACACAGTTGCGGGAGGGACCCTGGCCCCTAACCCAATCACTCGACACCCTGGCCCGAACTCTCTAGAAAAAGAGGCAGGGGTGTCGAGTGACAGGCAGGCTGCCAGGGGTGGGGAACAAGAAAGATACATTTGGTAACCAAGACAACTGGGGAGGGGTTTGGGGATTGACACAAACTGGTAACAGGGCAGGACTTTCTGAGAGAACAATGGAGGGAAAACTGAACAAGCATAAAACACACCACAACACCAGGGTACTGGCACCAGGGAGGATTGACAGGGAACTCAGGGTAGATTTATAATTTGGACCAAACCATAAACTTAGGCAATAACAGAACATACCATTAAGAGTAAAAACACACCACAACATCCAGGGTATGAAAAAATGTTCTAATTCTAGCCTTAGGACAGACAGGGCTCTAAAATCTGTTTTTTAGAGTCAGGATTTCCTCTGAGATAGCTGCAAATTTCTTATCTTCTTGGGGATTCAGAATCTTGGGGCAGTGCTATAGCCACAGTTTTTTTTTTTTATACATTATGCAGATTGAATTACAAAGTGCATGTCAAAATTTATCTGCTGCAGATGGGCTGGAATGCTAATGTTATATATAGTTACAATGGGCTAGATCTCATTAGGGAGATATTCTTGTCTGTTTAAATATTGAGTATCCAACACATCTGTTTTCTTGTACTTCCTCTGCCAAGGGACTCTACAAATAGGATTTCCAAGTCTCTGGTGCATCATTTAGGAATCCTAGTTGTTTGGAAAACAAATGGTAAATGAATAATACTGATAGTATCTGGCAGCTGAATGCCAATTCCTTTAATGTTCTGAGCTCTTTACAGCAGAACTCAGCAGATGCCAAGACTGCACAATGCCTTGCTGGTCAGACCCCACTGACCAGTGCTCACAGTGGTGTTGCTTTAAGGGCTCCTGGTTTAACTTGCAGCTTGTGAAGCAAAACTCATCTCTGGAGGGAGATCTGCAAGCATTTAATCTTGGGTTTCTTGGCCACCTATTGATTTTTTCATGTTAAATATTAACCTTGGCACGAGAAATGTCAGAGTAGAAGGACAGAAGAACAATACCAATGAGATACATGAGAATACAGAGAAACTGAGCTTGAGCCTTTTTCTCTGTTTAAGTGGAGCTCCATGACAGTAAATTTGGTGACTTTACTGTGAGGAGCCACTAGAACAGCCCATACTAATTGTCTTTCTGGCATCTTTAACACTGATGGATTGGCATTAACACCTTTATAAATTTCAGGCAGATCACTGAACTTTTTCAACTTTTTCAACTGTTTTTAGAAAATCTGGTAAATGTTTGCAGGGCTGTACAGCCCTGTGATGGTGATGTAGATTCTGAAAGAATAAGTAAACATTCATATTTTTCAAGGAGGAAAAGAGGAGGATGAAGGAAGAAATCGAAAGAAGAAGGGCTGAAGCTGCTGAGAAACGCCAAAAGATGCCAGAAGAGGGTGTGTCGGAAGACAAGAAGCCATTTAAATGTCTCAGTCCTAAAGGTTCATCTCTCAAGGTAACCTCTCCACTAGCATCTATACAGGACATAAGAAGCAGTGGAGTTTGTAGTCCAAACCAACAGGCCAACATCAAAAGCAATGTTGAAGTACTTGTAATCAAACCCAGAAAAATGCTTTGATAGACTTAGCCTGAAACCTCTAGCTGAAAGACTTCATTGGGATGATTGAAAATTAGAATTCCTGCTTAGAAATAGAGAATAGACTGGCAACTGTCTCTTCTTGATGAAGAATCTCCAAAAAGGATCTTCACCTCCATGAGAAAATGATTTTTGAAACTTAGAGCAGTAATACTGTGTTGTTTTAAATTTATTATAGGAGTGCTTTGTGAACTGGAGTAAAATCACAGAATCATTTAGGTTGGAAAAGATCTCTTAAGAGCATTAAGTCACAAATGTTCTCACTCCTTCCACATCCACAGTTATTGTCTTGCTTGCCAGATTACTTTGTCCTTAAGCATATTCAGCCTAATCATCATTAATTGTAACTGACCTGCATGGGAATTCTAGCTTATGTCTAATCCCCCTAAAAATAACATCTAGAAGTACTGGGCTGGATTTCATTTTCTTACATAACAAAAATTACAAACCTCACCCTTCTGTTGCTGCAGGATTTCTAAATGGTCTTTTGTGGCCTATATTATATTAGAAGTGTGATAAATCAATTAAATGGTCTTTCAGCATGGAAGAGGAATCCTGGCCCCACTGAAATTATTGGGAGTATTGTTTTGGAATTCAGTCTAGTTGCTTTCTCAGCTCAAATCTATTAATTTCTCAGCTCTGCAGATCTATTAATGTTTTCAAAGTTCTTTTCCTTTCTGCATTTTGTGTCATTAGTCGTTTAAGAATCCAAAACATTTGTCAAAAGGGCCACTTAGTGGGAAATAGGAGGGAAAAGAATGAGATAGGAGCCCTTGAACCATAAATTGCATCTCCATGAGATTAAAACTGTAACTACTGAGTGAAAAATTGCATTTGGACAAAATTAGTTTTAGCTACACTTTGATTCAATCTGGGGATTTGGGTCTGTTTTGTGTCCAGTTCTAGCAAATACCGAGTCCAAATGATTTGAACCGTTTGAACCTGAAGTACCGGGAGAGAATGCACACAGCTGTAAACAAAGATTGCAAAGCTTCATGACTTAGTCTGATTAGTTAAACCTGGTCTTGCCATTTTGGTTGCTAAAGATGATGTCTATAACAGACACTATAAATGTACAGCTTCTTCCCAGCCCTCCTGGGCGGGCTTCCTTTTCTTCTGTTTATTGAGATGCCTTTTATGACATACATATGGAGCTTTGATTCACAGAAGGCTCAGAATGGAGGAAATTGTACTTGAAAACACAAAGTAAAAAGGATATAGGTCCTAGTTTTGGGGAAAGTGTGAAAAAACACTGGACTTGGCAGGAGGCTGAAAGCTTTCAGATACCTTTTGTACAGATGCTACACTATTCTAAGTGTATTTTCAGAGGAAAGCTGACATTTTAAAAATGTTGTTAGGCTGCAAGGTACGTTTTTTAATGCTGGGTTTCGTGTCTTTTTAGGTAGAAGTTGTTTGCTACAAAACCTGATATATGGAGCTCTGCACATTTTTTCCTCTTTCTCTGTTTCTGTCTCTGAGAAATTGGTGATACTCTGCAGATTCCAGCCCAGTGTCTGTGGGTGGCCAGTGTAGATGTGTAATGTTGTAGAAGTTCACACCCCAAACTGTTTCTTGGAATCCTGTGGTCAAGAGCTGAGGGGAGAGTAATCTGAGTTTAATTAACCTGATGTGAAACTTGATGTCAAAATCCAGTTATGAGAAGGCAGTCTATTTTGTTACCTTTAATTTGGACTGACTTCCCAGGCTGGTCTCAGCTGGTTGGCATGCAGCTCTCTCACTGTCTGCTCTGCTCTGCCCAAGTTATCTCTTGATTTGTAAAGCATCTGGCACAGCTTTTCTCCTGTGATGGATGTATCAGCTCAGATCTGCCATGAGTCATGTGAGAATCCCAAATGCACAGTGGTGGGTGGGTGGTTGGAATTAAGACTGAAAAAAGGGAGGCTCTGTGTAAAATTAATGCATGATACATGTGCACATTCTGACTTCTCCTGGGTAACAATCCGGCAAAGCACTTTTTTTGCTCCTTCCCTGTCCTTCCTGATGTGATAAGCTTTGGGAAGAAGAAGAAGAAGTTCATAGGAGTGGCTAGTATGAGGGAAGGAGGGTGGTGCTGATTGCCAAGGGGACTACAAGAACAAAGGGAAGAAGGGAGCCTAACTGAGCAGCAGGGTGGCATATTGCCATCCCATGGGTGCTGCATCTGTCCACCAGGCAGGCCATGGGCTGGCTTGGCTTGCAGACTCAGAACTGAGAGACCAAGATGTGCAGCTCCTCCCCACGTGTGACACAGCTCATGGATGCCCAAATGTAAACGTGCATACATGAACATGGACAAAATATACATATGTGCTTATATTGAGGAGAACCTGCTAGGATTGTCTAGTCTGGCCTCTAAAAATCAGTGTTGACAGCTCCTGTTGTTTTAACTGGTAAATACAGAGTTTCCCTCAAACCTGAGGCAACACTTCAGCAGAGATACCACAGTGTGGAGTCCTTCAGTGGCAGCTCGAGGGCTGGTTCCTTCTGAGGGGACAGTGAAAAGAAAACAAGCCTAATAAATGCAGGCCAAGTTCATCCCTAGCTCAGGGACAGAAGCAGCTTGCATTTCTCAGGGCTGGGTGGACACCCTGTGGTCTGCAGTGGTACCAAACTTCTGTTCAACCTCTCTCCTGTATCTTGTTGGTTTTTTTTTTAAATAAGGACAAAGCCTGGAACAAGCTCTGCTGCTCTCCCATCTGCCTCTAGCTTGTCCTTTGCCTAATTTAGTTAATGCAAACCATGATGCATTCAAAGAATGTCATTTCCTGAAAAATCTTTGATCATTTTGCTCTTCAGACAAGTTCATTCCTCGTATTTTTTTTTGAGAAGGAAGGTTATTGAGTCTTTTTATTCTATTCTCTGGGTAAATCAGGAGAGTACAGGATATTTCAATACTAAGTCTCCTCTTGGGGATGAGCACCACCACTAGAGAAGTGCAAAAGCAGTTAGGTGTTGAGGGGAGGGAGCAATGGCAGGAGGCTGGGATATCCCTGTCTTTGGAGAGAATGTCTCCTGGGAAGCAGGGACTGATGTGGCAGCCAGCACTCTCTGCAAGGCATTGCTGACAGCTAACCCAGCAGATGGGACTTTAAAACAATTTTTTCTTTAAAGACCTGTCTTGTTTTATCTCATTATTGCTCTCAGTACCTGACAGCTGGGGTATTGGAAAGAATTAGACTCCACACAATCAGTTCTCCCTAGATGAGCTATTCTCGAGGCAGAGGGAAAACAGAATGGTAAGAACAGGAAATGTGACATTTGCTTTTCCCAGTCTTTGATGCTGATGGCAGCACTGGAGTCTAGTGGGTAAACTGAGCTGAATTGGCAGACTCTGCTCAGGTGCTGCTGACAGCAGGGAGAAGCATAACTGTGCTTAGTGAAGCAAGGGGCTGAGTGAGCCACTCGGGGGGGATAAGGAGAAGCCTCTCCCAGGGACTGCTGCTCCAGAGGATTTCCACTAGGTCCTTCCACATATTGGATAGGAGGCAAAATTAAAATACGGAGTTTTCTGTGTTTGTTTTTTATTCCACTTCCTCCGTGACCTTTTTTTTTGGAGATAGGTCAATTTACAACTTTCTGTTGTATAATATCCAATACACAGTTTAAAATTCCTATGAATCAATGTAATACCTTTTTCTGAAACAAGTTTTACTGGGAATATCCAATGATTTTTGTTTCCCAAGTCATGGTCTCATATTGTGTGTTAACTCATTCTTTCTGGTCATAATTTAATTAGAGTTGACTTTTTTGAGTATATGTGTGTTCTGAAAGTATTCCATGGTCACAGAATATAGTCCAAGCTATTTAACAAGATTCTGATAAGATGAATGCAGTAAAAAGATTATTATTTCCTGAAAACTGAGAAAACATCTTGAATTTTATGTTAACCACCTTGCTTTGCCTGTTTCTTTTACAGATCTATTTTGTCATACTGTTTACTGTATGTGCCAAACGGTTTAAATTCTTTGCATGGAGTTTGTGTGATGTGCAGTGGGTAAATGACCTTTAGATGTTGCTGTGCAGTCTAAATGTGTTTGACTTCTATATTGAATACACATGTGTAGAGGTTTGTTTGCCCTAGGTGTATTCAATGTCTGCTTCTGCTATCTTTTGAGGGGGATATTCTAGAATAAATCCTCACATAAATGTGCAAAAGGTATTTTATCCCTCCATGCTTCCCCAGCCAGAGGGCCTTGCTCAGCTCTGAGGGTTTCTTCCTAACTCTTTTCTGTTTATTTTCTGGTTTTGCTTTTCCATTTTCCTCTTCTGAACAACCACTGACTTTTTCCTGATCCCACAGCCGATAACTGAGTAATAACTGAGTAATACACAGTGATAACTGGTAACTGAGAACTGCTGTTACCAGTGGGTAAAGAACAACCCCCACAAGAAAAATGTTCCTGTTCCTTCCCAACTCTTCCCCCAGTGCCCACTCAAGCCTGGTTTTCCTGTTGTGCAGCAGCATCTCCCCTGCCTGCACATAAAAAGAGTGAGAAGATCCTATAAATGAATTATTAGGCAGTTGCCATAAGTCCTGGTTCTTTGAGAGAGTCCATATTATTTGTCCTTGCTGCCCACCAGGGTTTCACTGATGTTTATGTGGGGATAAGCTGGAGGCTCTTGCTGGAATAACTCATCATTTTCCTGCATTGCTGGTTATGACCCAGAAGTCAGCATTGGGGAAACTCCTACTGTACCATAGCAGAAGTGAGGCCATGTGTTTCAAGTGACCATCCTCTATCTGTTTGGTCACTTTTGAGCCATTTCCCTGCTGGTTTTGTGGCATTGCCAGCTGTACCTCCTCTGGGTGAGAGAGCTGTGACCTTTTCCTGCGGGTGTGCAGGGCTCCTGCTCCTGCCGGTCTTTTGCTGCCACCTTGTGACATCCTTCCACTGAAACAGGGGATTTGTCCTGGCAAAGCCCATCGTTGCACTCAGGACTGCTTTTAGCTCGTGTTTTGGCAGCTAAAGCTGGTGATGGAAATGACTCTGTAAATTGTATGTATGTTTTAGAGTTTCAAGGTGCCTTTGAGCTGGGTGGGTGGTAGCTGGAGCTCCTCCAGTGAGCTCCTCTGGCAAATTCTCTGCTCAAGTGAACTGCCTGCTTGCAAGGGCTTGAGAAATAAACTGTCCATGCCCTTTGATGGGATTGCTGTGGGATTTGGTATTCTGGCATAGCCTTGGATGCTAAAGGCACTGAAGAGAACCATTTAAAGGAATGGCTGTCATTGCCTTGTCTTAAAGGCACGAATGCCAGAGCAGTCACGGTTAAAGTAAATGGAAAATGGAGAGCCCCTGCTGAGAGTGGGGAATCCCCAGGAATCCAGCCAAGCTGATTATTAATCATTTCAATCCCCTGGAGCTGCTTGCATGTATTTTACTTTTAAGTGAAACTGTAGAGCCTGGCATGAGAAGTGGAACAATGCAATGTTGATAAGACTTGAGGAAGTTTGATGAAAATATTTCTTGACCCTGAATACAAATAGATGCACACACTCCCCATCTTCCCACCACCCAGAGTGAAATGTTTTAAAGCTTTATTCAGGGATCTAGTTTTTTGTTTTCAAAGTATTGAGAGATTTGACAGAAACCATATGAGACTTTCATGAGTCTTCCTCCTTGGAGACGTCACAATATTTTCGTATTTACAGAGTAGAAAATAATGATGAAATGTCAGATATCAGTTTGTATAATTACAGCTGGTAGATACAGATTCAGCAGTGACCCTGCCTGAACATGAGCAGGGTTTACACTGATGGGTTTTTGGAGCCCAAATTTAAATTGATCGTGTCCTCCAAACACACGTGAGTAAGGGAGGTTTTGTGGCTGAGCTCCAAACCTGGCCTAGTCTGATCCCTTAGCTCAGAAAAACTTTATTTAACTTATACAAACTTTATTGTCTGTCTCAAGAGATACATACTTGCTCTTGTGTGGGAGATGTGAGGGTGACATAGGTTTTTGTGCATATCAGTCCCTTCCATGAGATAGACTTCTTCCCTTCTTTCTGTGTTGTTCGTTTATTCTCGTTACATATGAGGCACTGAGGAAACGTGTAGGATGCAAACATTCATGCAGAAAATACATCCACTCTTATGAATCTGTAGCATAACAGGCTCCCGTCTATAAAACCTTTGTGTGGTCTGTGAAATTTCTGTTGGAATGCATCTCTTTCAGATTGACTTTTTTGACATTTAAAATGACATTTCAGGCTAGCCTTGCACAGGCTGACCCTTTATGAACTCTAAACTTAAAGCTTTTGTTCCTCTCTTTTCTAGATAGAGGAGCGAACAGAATTTTTGAACAAATCTGCTCAAAAGAGGTAAATCAAAGAAACAGTAAGTAGTGTTCAAACAGCAGTGTTTAAGTGGAGGGAATAATAATTCTTGGTTTTTTTTTTTTTCTTCCCTACTTCCTACAGTGGAATGAAGCCCACCCAGACAACAGCAGTTGTCTCAAAGATTGACAGTAGACTTGAGCAATACACTAGTGCAATTGGGGTAAGTAAATTCCAGTAAATGGATCTGGTTACTAATGGCTTTGGGGCCTTGAACAGCAAAACAAAGGCTGATTAAAGAATTGCAGGGTTTTCTGATCACAAACTCTTCTTTAATGTGACTTCAAGAACAAAGTGCTTGAGGCACATGTGTAACCAACATCTAGAGATGCATCTAAACAAAGCCTCAGATTTGGGTCTTCGCTTTCATGCTGTAATTTACTGTTTTGTAAGCTGGCAGTAGCTTTGGAGGGTTCAGCCAGCCTCTCGAGTGACAGTCACATCCTCTGCTTGGCTGGTGAGAGACCTGTCAGCACAGAGCTGATGGTTATCCTGAGCAGATCTGACCTAGCAGCTGATTTAGGAGAACAAGGAACTGGCTCTGTGCTGCTGGCTGCCACCCGACAGTGAAATTCCTTGGCAAAGACAGAGAATCAGTTAAGCAGTGACAAAAGGGAAATCAAAATCACATTAAAATGCAGAACTTGACCCCGGGTGATTTTGAGAACTGTCCCTAAGAGCCAGAACTGAGGGCTTTTTCTGTCCATAGTCCAAGGTAAAAGAAGTGATTGACACCACAGTATCCAGCTGCCATCTGACTTGAAATATTTCCTTTGCTGAGTTTCTGATTTGTCCAGAACTTGCCAAATCTGCTTTGCTTTGCAATGAGAGAGGCAAAGCATCACTCATACAGGTTCTTATTCTCATCCAATCTATGATATGTAAAATGTACAAGAATTTTGAAAAGAAGAAAGAGGACAAATTTGGCTTAGTGTTTTTAGTAACCATGCAAAAGACACATTTGCCCCAAAAAACAGCCAAAAACTCCCACCCAATTCTCCACTCTTCAAAAGAACACCTTTTTCCAAACATATTGTGATTGCTGAGATTACAACTGAACCTAGAATGCTGAGGTTCTGTTGTCTGGGGTAGATGGAGAAGTCTGATGCTGAATGACAGAACAGCCTTTCCCCCTGCCCTTGCAAAGGGATTCCCTAGCTCAGGCTTCCAGGAGCCAGGTAGAAGCTAAGATTTTAAACCCTTGGAGAAGTTGTGCGCAGACCTAAGGTTTGCCATGGGTTTTAGAAAGGTAATAACACAAAAATAAGGGAATGCCACTTTCACAGCTGGTTGTATCAAGAGTGAAACTGCAAATCAAAAAGCTGAGAGAGTCTCAGTGGCACTTCTTGAGCTGGGTACTCCTGCTCATCTTTGCATGATCAGTGCTAGAGCCACGTGGAAATGCTGCATTCCCCAGAGTCAAACCACCCTGCAAATCCAGCTCTCAATGCCAAACACCAACTGGCCTCAATTTTTCCCCAGGGCACAAAGGCTTCAAGACCTAAAGCTTCCGACCTGCACGTTCCGGCCGAGGGCGTCCGTAATATCAAGAGCATGTGGGAGAAAGGGAATGTTTTCTCATCACCTTCTGGGACAGGAACACCAAATAAGGTATGTGTTTAATTATCCTAGTGATTGTAAAGAATTGTGCTCTTATTGTTAAGGACGTGGCCTTGCGTTCATATTCCTGTGAGTAAGCCTGTCTGCTCCTGTTGGCATCACTGGTGAAGGATATCCCAAAGGATCCTGAAGGCCTCAGAAAGCCACAAAATGGTGTGGCTGCAATATTGAGTATAATGGAAGAATTTAGTGACCTACTGAGCTCAGTTATGAGACATTCCAGAGCCACATCAGATATCTTAGAAAAATACATCTGGGCCATTCAAGCAGAGTACAAAGAAATTCTTTAAGTAGGGCAAAATTCTTCAGGGGAACAGAAGAGCTTTGAATAGACAGGATAGTGATGATATTTTCTAGATAATTCATAGAAGTATTTGTGAGACCTTTATCTTTTCTGTGTAAATCCTTAAAGCAATATTTTCTTTCTATAAAATTGATGTGAGTTGCTGGGCATTTTTCTTAGGCAAAATGATGAGCTGTGGGTTGAAGTGGGTTATTACAGATAATAATTAAATTTTAATAATTTGTTCTAGCCTTTTAAAGAGTTAATGTTTTAAATTTTAGGCTGCTTCTCTATTGTGTACCTCTTTTGAAAAAAATTAGTATAACAAGAGGAAAGAAGTAGATTTGAACTGATGTCTCTTCTATTAAGCTAAAGACTTTTGGAGTTTGGGCTTGTGGTAGAAACAGCATGTTTATGTCTGACATTTATTACTTGGGTAGCAGTAAAGTGGAGATGTTTTTGTCAGTCCATGTCTATTATTTTTGTAAACTAGGGGGCAGCAGCACTGTGTAATTCACAGGGACAAACCCTTCAGAGCACGCAGGCTGTCTCTGAGCAAACCACAGGCTCAGTGAGGACCTCTCTATTAAACCCAGGCTTGGCTTTGCTTTTAAATCTAAACCATGGTAAACAGGGCAAAAAGCCATTCTGAAGGTCTTCTCACTGAATTTTATCATTTTGCAGGAAACTGCTGGGCTGAAGGTTGGTGTCTCCAGTCGTATCAACGAGTGGTTGACCAAGACCCCAGAGGGCAACAAATCCCCTGCTCCAAAACCTTCTGTAAGTAAACTTGGAACAGCCATCTCTTCAGTAGGTGGGCTCTCTTGGGGCAGGGGGTGCTTCCTCCACCAGCTGATGGCCTTTGGAGGAACTCTGCTTTGTGTCCTCTTGGCAGCTCCCAGCCCTCTGGCTGCTGGCTCCTTGTAGTCAGAAAATGGGGAGAGGAAACAGAGCAGTTTTCACTTTAAAGCTCAGAGAGCACTTCTCTGGTAGAGGATGACTTTATTTACTGGTAAGCCTTTATTGTGAAAGGCTTACCATTAATTTAGAAATTACCAGCCACAGACCCCAGGCTGCACACTTACACACACTTGGAGTTTGGCCCTTGCCCTGTAAAAATCTTCCAAGTATGTTTTAAAGCACAACTGAAATAATTTAGTCCTTTATGAGCCTAAATGTAACTCCTAATGAAGGCCCTTTAGCCTGCCCATTAGTTCAGCAAGAATCAGAGCAGAAAATGCTGTTGAGGTAACAAACTGGGAATGTGGGAAGCAGCAGGAAGAGGTAACTGTGGGGTGGGGAAGGGTAAGGATGAGGAACCTAAATATCCATATTGGAGAATTGTTTGTGATGTTAATGATTCAACTTCAGGATTTTGTTAAAGACCTGATTTCTACCTGTATCCTTCTGCAGTGTTTTTCTGCCAGTTCAGCTGCCCCTTATGAAAAGTGCAGCCTGAAAAACACTTTCTCAATTCACACTCCTGTTTGTCTTAAAGAGGAGTTTGAAATTTGCAGCATTGTCCGCTGTGGAATCTGCCTCCAGATTTTTCTCTCTTTTCTTTTAAGTTGCATCTTTTAGACAATGTAAAACTAATCTCTTGTTTTTCCCTCAGCCAACTGTTTCTATCTATGTCTTGATTTCCCTCTTTCTCAATAGATTGTTCTTTCTTCTTTCAATGTCTCTGCTTGAAGGAACGCGCCCTCCTCCTATTCTTCTTCTTTGGGGGTCTGTTTGCTAAGTTGGTCAGGTAAACCTGTTTATAATTGACTATGAAGGTTTATATACATCTATAATGTGTGATTTTTACTTTTTTTTTAATCAGGATAAATCGAAGGGAAGCCTAGAATTTCTTATTTAAGCAAATAAATCCTCACCCCCATCACATTCCACCAAAGTAATGAAATGTTCAAAGTTTTTGTGACCATCAAGATTCTTGTGGATTTTAGAAAAATATTGAATTCAAGGCAGAGCAAAGGTTTCAGTTTTACAGTGAACCAAAGTCACAGATCCCGAATCATTTCAGGACTATGGAAATGGATTTGTGATGATGTCCCCTGCAAATGACTTTGTGATAAGGTCAAAATTGCTTTCTTCCTTCCTCTGTTACTACTGAACTGCCATTTTAAAGAGCAGAATTGCCTTCAAATTTTAAACATCAGCAACCCTGTGTGGCTGCAAATTATAATCAGTTCTAGAGGGTCTCTGCTGGGTGCAAATACCCCTTGCAGGAATTTCATTTCCATTTATCACTGAGCATTTCACAGGTAGAAATTCTCATGTGCAGAAAACTTATCTCCCTATGGATGGGCAGTAGAAAATCCTGGAAGCCATGCAGGAGTTGAATACTTGCTGAAAAGGAGAGTACTTGTGTCCAAAAGTGTTTGAGTCTCCTATTTGCCATGCACAGAGGTAGAATCAATCCAGCTGCCCAGCACTTTTCATTTTCATTTGCAGCCCTCCTTTTCCCCAAGAAGCTAATTGACTTTTTTATGGAATTTTCATTAAAGTCTCAGTAATGCACTCATTTTCAGAGATTACTACTATTCTTTAATCATTTTACCTCATCTGTTTTTTTGTTTGGTTTTTTGTTTTTCTATCAGGCTGGTGATTGGCACATCCTAAGGTTGCAAAGGGTGCAATTGAAATTTAAATGGATATGAAGGATTACAGTGCTAAGTGCTGAAATCTGTATTTAAGGATGTAGAGCATGATCTGCTCTTCAGTTGCATAAAAACTCTAACTCTTTTCTTATAAAAATTTTTAAAATGAAATATTTTTATTTTGATCTAAAATAACCAAGAAAAGCTACTTTTGATTTCCTCCCTAGTGAAAATGCTTTCCTTAAAAATATGGGGTTTTTTTCTCCAAAAAATTGGATTTGGTTTTTTTGTAACAATCTGAGGGTGCAGTAACTCTTTCCTGCACTCCCTAAGTTGAACATACTGAGTTAAGACCAGTCTGTGCCGTATGAAATAGATGAAACAGGATTGTTTTTTGTCTTAAAACATGGATATGTGTGGAGTTATTTTATGAAATAGAATTCTTTATAACTGATAGACAATGTAATGTTTACCTCTGGTGGGTGTTCCTCAGTTTCTCTTGTGAGGAAGTTGCATTTTAACTTTTTCTTTAACAAGTGAAAATAAACCTGAACTAATGTTGGTTTCTGTTCTCTGACATTAAAAATACAGGATTTAAGACCAGGAGATGTGTCTGGCAAACGTAATCTCTGGGAGAAGCAGTCAGTGGAGAAGCCAGGTGCTGCTTCTAAGGTAATAATACTTCTGAGCAGCAGTTAGAGGATAATATTCTGTTGCTAACCCACCTTATTGTCTATAAAAGAAAGCACAATGAGGTTCAGAAAGCAGTGTATCACTTTTATGTTCCTGTTTGGCAGAGCTGTGTTATGTGTGGACATCAGTTGATTTTTTTTTTCCCTGTTATAAATAACAATTTTCTCCTATATGGGATTTTAAAAATGTGTTTTTGCTTTTTCAAACAGGTATCAGCTACAGGGAAAAAATCAGAGACTAATGGTAAGTAGTGCCATAATCATATATTGCACCTGTTTCTATAGTTTAATACATATTATTACATATATATATATATATAGTTATAATCATGTTATGCATATAATGTTAACATACACTATTTAATATATTATATTTAATAAAATAATATATATTTAATAAAAATTACTATTTAAAGTATATTTAACATATTTAAATATCAATAGTAATATATTAATATTTAAATATTTAATAATTTAATTAATAGATTTAATATTAAATAATTGCTATTGATATAAGTGTATTTAATAAAATGATACAATATTTCCTGATGTACATATAACAATACAATGCAAACATTGTAATACCTATTATTACACAGAAACATTGCCACATTTTTGCATAGGTGTACCTGTGTTTTAAAATTCTGCAGCTGTTCACGTTGATGCAGAAACCCCTTTTTGCCTTTCAAAAACTCCATTAAAATATCATTAAAACATGAATGGTTGAGAAACTGCTTTTGCTGGAGCTGTGCATTGGAGTCTTTTCAGAGCAAAAATAGTTATGCTATTGTCATTTTGAAACCACTGGTTGGTGAAACATGACCTAGTTTTACTGAAAGAAGTCAGCAAAATAGCCCTCTTAGCTTTTTATTTTAAATTTTATTTAATATGTATTTTTTTTAATATTTTTTATTTTAAAGCACTCCAAATAAAGCAAATTAAACTAATTGTATGGCTAAGAACCAGTGGGGAAGAATGGAAGTTCACTGACCAATTTAATAACTTTAAGGATGCTTTGCAGCATCTCTCAATTCTTTGCTAAGAGTGAAATGATCAAATAGAGAAAAACTCTTGGTTTTCTACACCTTAATGTGTGCCCACACATTTTTAGTGTTTTTATGTGAAGCCAGATGTATGGTGCACCTGTGAACTTTGCTTTTTGGTTGAGAGCCGTGCAAAGCAGAATTGTTTTGCTCCTCTTGTCCTTTTTCAAACCCAAGTGTCAGGAGAGGGGGTTTTGGGCTGACTCAGGGTTAGTGCAGCCCTGCTCCCATGGAAGGTGCTCTCCACCCACAGGAGCAGGCCTGGCAGAGGGGTTTGGACACTGCTGAGCCTCTCCCCAGAGGCTGAAACCCTGAATTTTGTCCTCCTGGGGACAAAGCCAGTACAGGAGCAGAGCAGCACCCAGCTCTGTCCTGCCTTCTTACATGCTAAACTAGAGAGACGTGCCTTTTCTGTTCTAGAGATGTGCCTGGGTGGTTTCAAGCCATATTTAATCTGTCTCTTTCTCAGCAGGTTTGAGACAATTTGAGAAAGAACCCTAGAAGGCCACTAAAGACGCTGGACCAATCAGTTTGGGGGAAAAAAAAAAGGAAAAAGTGCTAAATTGTTCTTTTTATATTTATGTTTATTTACCAAAATGTCTTTTTTTTGCATTATCCCAGTTAAAACCATGTATATTAGCACTGTATTTAATAATCAGTCTAGACATTCATCAGAATAGTACTGCCTTTGCACAAGAGCCTTTATTCCTAAAGAAACCCATGCTGTGAAATATATAGACTCTCCTACTGAAAGTCATAAATATGTATCTGAACAGTGATTTCAGCTGGCATTAGAGGTCAACCCAAAACACATGTAAAGTGAAGTTGCTTGGGAAAGGTGTGCAGTAAACCTATAAAACCAGTGGTTACTTTTGTAATACAGAAGTCTTTTTCTTTCTGCACTTTAGACTAAGGCATGGAAGAAATATCTTTAGTTGACAATGTAATATTTTCTGTAAGTTGCCCATGTCATGAGAAATACTGCATCAATAACGTGTTTTAATTTTTTTTTGTTTTATACTTTTTTTTAAGTATCAATTTTTTCCATTCTAGTTTAAGTTAATACCTAAATTTGGATGATTATGTTAGCTGACAGCGGTACTGATATTTCTTTTTGTTGTTAGTGACTAGTAATTGAATGCAATCTAGAATATATATACACACATAGCTTTACAAAGTTTAGCCTAAAGGCACTACTAATGGTAGAATGCTTTAATATGTGCTAGAGTATTATATTTAGCAATAAACATACATAATTAGCCAATATCACAGCTTAAAAAAAATAAAGACAAAATCACACACTTTTCTAATAGTAAGATTTCATAATTGTCATTAGAGGTATGGTGAGATAAGTATTAAAAAAATTTAAATGTCAGTTGCCCAGTAATGGGTAATTAAAAAGAAAGTATAGTTTTTAAAAGAGGAAAAGGTAAGGGTATAGAGGGTCAAAAATAGGTCACTTGTATAAAACATTGTAGTTTAATTTATATAAAACTACCATAATTAAAAAGAAAAAAATGTAAACAGAGTTGGAGCTTGTTTCAAATGACTGTACACTAAATTGTGCCATCCATCAGTGCCCTACACCAGGTCCAGAGAAAATGAAGTAAACCTCTATCTTTGTGACGCTTCTTTTTACCTCTCTCCCCTGAATATCTTATTTACAGATGTTTTCATTTGTATATAGCAAACACATGGCTTTAGGACGTCAGCTTGGTTTGGATTTACATGCCCTACAGTTTAGCATTTACATCCTACAGTGTACGGGTGGCATAAACTGAGCAACTCAAGCAGCCCCTGAGCATGTTGTTAAGAGCTTTGTTGTGCACCAGAACCCCCAGGACCTCCCTCATCACCACTTCCATGTCTTACAGCATCTGGCTTCTTCCTCAAGAAGTGTAAATTTCTATTTCAACCCAAAGCTGGGCTCCCCTGCTTGGCTGAAACATCTTGTTTACATCTAGGGATGCACAAAGTTATCTGTAGGGGGTGAAACTGTGCCTGACATTGTCTGTGGGTTGTCGTGGTTTTTGTTTGGGGGTTTTGTAAACACTCCTCTGAGTCTTTCAAATACATCTGATAGCTGCAATAAAAACCATTTGTTCAAACAATGTATTCTGAAACTGCATCTGCGATAAATGTAATATTTCCATCAGCAGGAATGAGCAGGAATGGAGCAGTTGTTGTTGTTGGGGTAGGAATTGTGCTGAGTCCCTGTGAGATAAGGTGAAGAACCCCTAAGGATACCCCCTCCTGATGCCACAAACCAGCTTGGCTTTGGCCTAGCAAAATCTGAAAAAAAAAAAAAAATTGAATATGAAAGTACTTGAATTTGAATATGAAAATATTTCAGAGCAATTAACTGTGAAGCTGTCTCAGGGTTTGCTTTGGTGATTTTTAAGAAGAGTTTTTTCTGTGCTTTCCTTAGATAAAGCCAGCCTGTGTCTGAGTGTAATGTCCTGGGTGCTGCCAGCAGAGCTGCAAAAATCTAAGTTCATGTTTGAGACTCCCAGTCTGATGTTGGAGGCAGCCCTTGTGTTCAGCTGGCTGGGTTTTACTGTGAGTTATCCCTGCCCACGATGCTGCCTTCAGCTTTCCCCAGGAATCACACAGGAGTTCAGTTTCTAGGTGTTCAGAGGAAAGGTTGTGTGAGGCAACTTTTGTTCTTTAGGTCCTACCTAGAGCACAATCCTGTTTTGAAGAATAAGCCACAAAGTGATCTGTATGTCCTAGTACAGAAATTATAGAAACTTATGTCTATCTGATTTCAAATTTGTAAAACCCCAGACTTTAGAAAAAACTATATAAAACAATTTAAGGACTACACTGATCAACTTTTGTGGTTGATAAACTTTATTCATATAAAATTTTAAAGCATTAGAAATTCACTATGAAAATCACAAATATATAAAAAGCAATGCAATTAGAGCATTCTTTGACAGTTACTCAGGAGCCAGTATGACTGACCCCTCTGGAAGTAACATATAAAAAACTCCATTTAAGTTCCTGGTTTTTTATTAAGCATGTCTCTAATTAAGGAAGACCAGATAAAAAGGAAAGGAAAAACATTGTCTTTTTACTACTAACCAAAACCAGATTTCTGCTAAGCATCTTTACAAAAACCCCACCCTTATTGCTGCATTCTTATATCAGTTAGTGGTCTCCTCCTTAAAAAAAAGGAGAAAAAAGTAACTGGTCATAACAATTATCAAGTACAGGAGAAGAAATGAAGATCAAGCTGCAGAGCGCATCTAATCTGGAAGGAGGTAAATGGAGGTCCTGCAGGAACCACCTGCAGTTAATACTCTGCTTTGAATGGGTAGTCCTTGTGGTTGACAGCTCTGAAAAGAGAAAGAGTTTGTTATTCAAGCAGTGAGAAAGTATCCTGGGCAGCATTTCCCTGTTGCAGCCTCCCTCCCCAAATGCCAGTGTACTCTGCAGCTGTAATTAAACTGAACACAGGCCTGGAGAAAGCCCCTGGAACACCAACATGCTGGAGGGAACACTCCAAATGAATCTCCCTCCTGAAGATCCAGGACATGCCTCATTCAAGTTTAAAGTTTTGTTTTTGGTCATGTGTGTTTTCAAGATGGGATGTGTGAAAATACAGAAAGAAATAGGAGAAATGGATAGTAAGGATAATAAAGAACATACTGGATCACTGGAACTGCCCTCCAGTTCCTGTTAAAGCTGAGGATGACATCCATATCCTTTTTGGACAGTTCAAAGTCAAACACCTATCAGGGAAAGAGAAAAAAAAAAGAAGCTCTTTTTAGTTAGGTTTGTGAGTAGTTAGCTCCTAAGTGTACTTCATGCACTTAGGACTTGGGGTAGGAATGCATTAAACACAGTTAAGCAATCCTCTTATTTCTCAGGCAAATAAGAACCCTTGAAGTCATCAAGACAGTCCTTTTGTTTCTGAGGTGCTGCTCATACCAAGGTCTTACAATTCTGGGTGGCTGAATTCCAACACGGCTGCATTTTGTGTTGTAATGCACACAGAGACTTTAGGTGCTCAGGATGTGTCACAAATACTGGAACTGGAGGTAAATTTTCTGCTACCAGAGAGGTCTACTGGGTATCCACTGCAAATAGTTGCCTCACAGGTCATCATCTGAAGAGTTATTGATAGGGGTTCATGGGAAAAATAACTCCAAACCCTCTCACCATGGATTGAAAGCAATACAGAGGTATTGTATAAGATGCCACACCTTATGAGCAAACATCCAGCTAAACTTCACTGCCAAGGGGAGCCACAGCCTCACAGTGAGACAAACTCTAACAGGTCTGGTGTTTGTTCTCAGCGTGTTCCTTTACACCCTAAGGACTTGTTAACCTTTTCCCCAAGGGCAAGTCCAGACCTGGGGCTCCCTTTCTGCAGCAGCACAGCTCAGACAGCCCTGGTGTAACCCATTTCTCTCCTAGCAGGTACAAAGCACTTTTCCCCAGATTTTCAAATCTGTTCCCACCCTTCCAGTGCCCCAGGTGCTGCTTGGAAACACAGAGGGGCTGTGGGTGTGGGTGCCCATCCTGCACAAAACCAGGCAGCAGCATTTCCCAAGGGAATTTCACCTTCATGTTCTCCTCAACACGGTGAGGTTTGTCAGACTTGGGAATGACAATGATGTCTCTTTGCACCAGAAATCGAATCAGGACCTAGGAAAGAACAAGGAGGAGATGAACACTGAGGTCCCAAGAAATCTATTCAAACACATTTTGTGGATTTTTTTTTCTTTTAGTCTACAATTTATTTTTCACTCTTTGGAAGACTACCACTTTGCACACAGGAGTTTGATATTCAGGATTTGCTCATGTATTTGACAGAAGACTTGCAAGTCCATAATTTTTTTCTAGCCTATGTTGTTTCTACATTGTGGCTTTTGCAGGATTTGGTTTGGTTTTGTTTAGGGTAGTAGCAAGGGGAGAAAAATGATGATGCTCTGGCTTGTATTACGTGAGTGCTCAGACTCAATGAGCATAATGACACTACAGATTATTTTGGGCTCACAGGTAAGTACTCACAAAGGTTCCGCTTTTGGAAGTCCATAAAAGGAAAAACATATTTACAGAATTTAAAAGTTTTCCCCTACCAAAAAACCCCAACTGTTGCATCCAATATTTTCATCCTGCTCTACCTGTCTTAAAATATGATTGTCTTTGATTGCACGTGAACATGTGGCTTTGTTTGAAGTGCAGTCTCTGCACACCCCAGGCAACAACTAAATTGTGTGACTAGCAAACTAATATAGAGAAAAAAAATTCTTAAATAATCAAGCAGCTTTCAATAATTCTTTGTGAACACAAGCAGATTGGAGGCAATCAAATATGTTTCCAAATTACAGGACTCTTCTGAAGAATAACTTAGCTGGAGAAAGGAATAAAAATTTAGGAAGGTGAACACCTGAGGTAAGCATGTACTATTGCTGATCAGTCCAACCCAAAATTTGGCACTCAAGACCTCCTTGAAAATAGCTGATAATTTTTATGAATGCTGTTAAGAACTTGGGCAGAATGAAGAGTCATTAATTTGACTCTTCACATATGAAGAGACTCTTCAAATACGAAGAGTCATACATTATAATGTAGCTCTAGAGAAAGCAGCATCTGCTAGGACTGGCTTGTAAAGCATCCAAGGAGGAGGAACTTACCTGGGCAGGGCTTTTATGATGTCTGGCTGCAATGTCTTTAATCTTGGGGTCATCCATAAGTGTGGGTTCCCCTGGCTTAGCCCTGTTAAAAAATAGAGATGGTGGTAGGAGAAAGGTGATGGCTTCCCTGTAGGATTGTCACATCATGTGACAATCTGCATCAAGAAAACAGAACTTCTTATTTTAACTCTATCATTTACCAACAATAATAATAACAATAATAATAATAATCTTCCTAGTTCTACTGCAGTGTTTTGTGTTCAGAAAGGCTGCGGTGCTCTCTTACCATGGGCGGTTAGGAGAGCCCAGGGGGCTGTAGGCTGTCACAGCAATCCCTTTGGATTTACAGTACTTGACCAGCTTCTCCTGGGTCAGGTATGGATGACACTCCACCTGCAAGCACAGAAAGATGGTTGATAAAAGAGGCAGACCTTGCTGAGCTGCAGAGCATTAAATTTTAAATCCTCTTGTGTCAAAGAAAATGTGAAGACTTGACTTCCAGTATCATGATTCAAATCTATCTTATAAAAAAGTTATTAAAGTCACAGCAGTATCTAGAAGGTTACCAGAGAATAGAGCTTTCTCATGCTCTGTATTACCCACAGAAAGCAAAAAATAGATGAGAAGAGTGTTATCTGTTTGGAATCTGGGAAATGAGCCTTCCTGGACTACTGCAGGGCAGGATTGCATCGTCAGAGGGGCAGCTCAGAATACCTCAAGTTTATTTTCTGCTCTGATGCACCCAACCTCTCCTTGCCTCAAGGAGCCTCTCTCATTCCTGAAGAAGCTTGGGGAGATGATCTGAGCCTACCCTAAGGAAGCAAGCTCATGTTGCAAACAGATATTTGTCTAAGATATCCTGAAAGCAACAGGAGCTCCATGGGGATGCTGCTCAGCTGCCCAAGCCATGGCATGGCCACAGGGCTTTGTCTGTGCTCCTCACGTGGCCCTGTGCCCACACCCAGCTGTCTCTAACACTGGAGCTTCACTAGCAGGCATGGTGACATAAAAAACATGTACAGTAGTTAACTTAGACCTAGCTGGTGTGGGGATTGCCCTGGGTACTCCCCATCTGGAAGAGATGGGCATTTAGCACCCTCAGCTGCGTGCAAAGAGTTTTGGAAATGGAAGAAAATCAGAAGGTCCCTAAGCTGCTGCTGTCCTGTGATTACATTCATGAGGTATGTGGTGAGAATTTGTTATGTAATTGTACTCTTCAACCTCCTTTCTATAATGAAGCTGAGTGGTTTATTTTATGTTGAAAAATGAGTAAGTCCTGTGCATCCCTGTATAGTCCCATGCTGATGCAGAAACTTCCAGTGGGGATTTTGCTGAATATATTTAAGATTACTCTAAATATTTATTATATATTATTTATATATCTAAATATATATTTCTATATCATATATTATTATATATTATTTTAAATATCTATTATATATTATTTATAGAACATGTATATT